GAGGTCGTCCTATCCGTGTTACTTGAATCCTTCAAGTTCTCGCCCTCCGAAGACGTAGAGATTTATTGGCAGATGAACAACGTAGCGACTCCGACTATTGCTAATAGTGGCACCAACAAACTGCAGCTCCCTCTGATCGTCGAGAGGGCCCAGTGAGAATGGGGACGGAAAACGAATAACGATCCGTCTGCCTTCGATGATCTGCACCTATGTACGAATTTGGCTACCTTTGCCTTTTTGTATCACTTCGTATCACAAGGCCCAGAGGAGTGGAGTCCTCGAATGGCTGCTCGAGGCCTGAGGTCTTTCATATAAGTTTACAACAGTTTCCCCAGTCGCTATTTTTCCAATTATGAAGGGATGCTACAATACTTCCGCGAGTGTAAGTACCTGGCATGTACCTATGTATATCCACAGCCGCCGGATACTAAAACATTCTTCAGCACTCGTAGAGTTCATGGAAATTGAGATAACTAGAAAAATGGCGGGCAATTATAAAGACGGGTAGAGTGGGGTTTGATCATCTCCAAAAAGTCAGCAACACCGCGAAGGGCGAAGTAGTGGAAAAGAGGAAGGTAGAAGTCTCCACGCGAATTTTCAGGTTTCAGTCGACGAGAGAGCCTGGCCTCCTGGAGTCTCCAGTCATCCTCCAATCTGTCAAGGCACTGAGACCACGCCTTCAGAACCGGCGACCACTGTTGCACGATAGGACTGTGCGACGTTTCTTCTGGATCTACGAGTTTGCAGATGGCCACAGAAGCAGCAGCCCTAGCGTCACTCCCCTCTGCGATCTTCCTTCTCCACCTCACCTCATAGTCAGACCTCCTAGAAGTAGGGATGTTGTTGAGGATTGCCCACAACGCCACCCAATACACAGAGAAGAGTTCGTCGACAGGGGACTGGAGATACTTGGTACCGTCCTCCATGGACTGGGCGAACTGCGAGGACACGAATTCTGGGTTACCCTGTACCCAATTAGAGGAGACAATCGCCGCAAGGAATGGCTACCCACTAATATTTCTTGATTGTCACGCCCAGAGTCCAAACAGGTCTCCCAAGGAATAGCCATATCGCTGTCGATAATGAAGGCGCTGCAAGTGGTCGTCACGCCCAGCTCTTGCACGAGTTGCTCGACCCGCATGATCTTCTCCTCGATGTCGTTCAACTGATAGGAGCATTCATCGACTGAAACTCCTTTGAGGAGCAGCGTCAAATCTTCAACCGATTTCGTGGCGGTCTGATGGAAGTCTGCAGAGATCTCAAAGGCGCGCTGTTCAACAGGACTCGGACAGAGAAACACGGTCCTGATGCTGATATCTCGATGCAAGTATCCGGCTTGGTAAAAGGAGAACCACCCTACGATAAATGGGTCAGAGATCGCTATAAGCTATAATTACTATAGGAGAAGATAATAAGTCCATTGGCATACCGAGTACGACGTGAATAAGTGCTTCACAGAGCTCTGTGGAACTTTTGGCGTCGACGAGAGAGTGTCGAACGTGTGGAGACAATGGGCACAGTGGATGGACGAAATGGCTTTCTGTCATAGCAGGTGGTGCACATGTGACACTGCACGAAGGGCGTTGCACGTGCACGTCGGTAAGCATTAGTAGTGGGAAGGATATTGGTTCGTTCCGATCCGTATAATCCACTTCCCGTACACCTTTCGGCATGACCGATGCTGCAGGACAATTTCGCGCCGACATCGATCCTGGTTCTCCCTCGGAGCCTCGTGAGATCGTCTTAAAAAGGTTGCTGCTACACCGGCCTAGCTTCCTGGTCCCCCTCTGTTGCGCAATGCGCTCTCAAGTCCCGACTTCGACGCTCAGCACTATGCTCCTTCTCGTACTGAAGGGTGTTTTTCTCTATGCCGTGTCGTGGGTCTTATGGAGAAGGTACCGCGATTTTTTCGTGAAATCGCCTCTGGACAACATTTACATTTCCTGGCCCAGCTC